TACTACCATAAATAGGAATTATTTATACACCCATCTAACTTTTTCTGATTCTCTTCACTCATTCTTTTGTTAGCATAATTTCACCTGAGGTCATTTTCCTCTTCCTTTTGTTTCATATGAAGACTTATTGGTGAGAAATTCTCTGAACTTTTTCTGAAATTTCTTTTTTTAATATTTTATGTTGATGATAGAACTCTTGGTTGGAAGCTATTTGCCACATTCAAAATGTCATGTGATTATCACCTGCTTCTCACCAATTCTGTTGTGATGTCACAAGAAAGTCTCATTGCTGCACCTTTAAAAGATTTTTTTCTATTGAATTCAAACTTCTATTCAACACATTTACCAAATGCTTAATTTCAGTGGTTCCATTTGTTAGTTTTAGAATTTCTCTTTGATTGTTTATAAAACATTTTCCAGATAACTTCACCATTTGGTCCTCTAGATAATACTTGCTAACTTTTCATTTCTTATGAGTTAATTTTTGCAGTGTTTATTTTCAACACAGAGAATATGGCAGATCTCTTAAAGGTAAGATCTGAAAAGCGTTTATCCCATTTCCCTGTGGACCATGATCCTACAAGACCTAGCTGATTTGGCCTCCATGATTTCAACATTTATGTTCTCATCAGTGCTAGGATATAGCTGTCTCAGACTTCTGCTCACCTCTAGACAAGTCAGTAAATACCTTGAGACAAAAACAGCCAATTCTCTTTCTCTGTTTTCCTTTACACAAGTCATACAGCCTTGATTGCTCTCTAATAGCAGCTCAGATAGTTTTCAATATCCTTTTTTCAGTTTTTATATTTGCTGTATCTGGGAAACACAAATTCAATTTTATTTTATCTATAGTTTAAAGAAACTAGATCCTATCTGATAGGTTTTATTCTGAATTTAAGGGTATCCTGAATTATTACCTTAATATTAAATCATATTTTGGTAGATTATTTAAAAGGGAAGAAATAATATTTAAAATTAGAACTATCTCAGAAAATCTGGGTTGCTTGAAACTGCCTGTAGATAGAAGGAATCAAAAAAATCCACCTTTCTGGGATTTCACACACTAACAGAAACAAAACCTGGGGGGAGAAAAAGGACACAGAAAATTGAGTAAATGTTTAGAACCATGAAAGTGTCATGATAAAATAGGGCAATACTGTAGCTTTCGAAAAAAAAAAATTGCTATATCTGTGTATTCTCTCTGTGTGTTTTTGAAGTGCTCCTTGAACTGGTAGCTTAGTATCAGAAAGGGTTAATCAGAGAAAAAGCCATATAGATTCATCACCAGCAGGAACAAACAGGTCTGTGGAAGACTGGAACAAAGGCCAGCTTGGCTGGACACAGTGACCAAGGGCCCAGGTGATCCAAGACAATGCCAGGAGACAAGAGAACTTGTTTAGCTTTTGTAGAGAGCCTGCAGTCATGATCAGGCATTTAGAGTTCATTGGAAATATAATGAGACACAGACTGGAGTTTAAGCAAGAAGTAGTATGGCTTCCTGTATTTTGCTGGAAATATTACTCTGATTACTAGAGGTGAGACAAGAGTAGGTGTCAGTTAGGAAACCACTGCATTTTCCTGACAAAGATAAAGTGGTGCCTTGCAGAATGGTGGGAGGTACAGAGACAGAGTGGGAAGCTGGGATTTCCAGTGGGGTGCATATGATCAGATTTGATGAATGTGGAACAAATATGGAGAGCGAGGCACAAAGGCTGACTCCTAAGATGCTGGCCAGAAGAAATGTATTGTACTGTTACAGTGCAGACTGACAGAGATGGCAATAGATGGCGGGTGGTAATTAAGGGCCCTGTTTAAACTTGTTATGCTTGAGATGCACCCTCAGCTTCGTGTGGAAATGTTAAAGAACCAACCAGATCCATGAATCTAAGGTTTCAGGGAAAGATTAGAAATAATGATATGTCTTAACTATCACTGGCAAAGGAATTATGCTTTGCATAAGGGAACCTGGAAAGAGTGTACAGACTTAGAAGGAGGATCAAGAATTAAACGCCAGTCAGTTCAGATTTAGAAGTGATAGCTGAATGATACCAACAAACAGGGAGTTGGCGTCACAGCATGAAACCACAGAAAGACAGAACTCAAACCACTCAGGCACAAGCACACCAACATATTTTTAAAGCCTCAAAAGCTAAATTCCAATAAATATCATCACTTTTGTAAAATTAAGAATCCTTATTAAAGTAGAATGGATTCAAACAATGAGAGTTAATTTGGAAGCTTTTATCATAGCAATATCTGCTAGTGTTCAGTTTATTTACTTAAAGAAATGTTTGGTCTGTAATTTTTCAATTAAGGTATTAAAAAATAGAACTGTGCAAAAAAATAAAAGTAGGTGATTTGCTTATCCACTGGGTTGTGTCTAAATAGTAAAAGAAATATGCCGTATTCCTTTGTTTAAAATATCACTTTTGCCTATACAAATATTTTAGTGCAGACCTTATACCAAGCTGGCTGTCGGAGTCTCATTTTACATTAACCTCAAATCAGTCAAAACAGTGAACACTGCAGAAATATAACACAACCAAAGAAATCAGTCCAAAACACTAATGAACCCTTGCCTTTCAGTATTGAATATTACAGTCACACTCATGCAATGGGTCAGCTTCAGGGTGGGAGGCAAAAAATGAACAGCCGTCAAAATGCAATGCACGTGGTGAATTAAGCTGTCTACTTCCATAGTATTTACTATTTCCATATAAAAGTTGTGCAGTAATGATTTGGAAAACATAATTTTATCTAAAATATTTAAAATAGAATTTCAAACTGTGTCCTATCGTCATGCTCATCATCACTGTTCATAATTCGATCCATTTCAAATGATAAACAATTAGATCCATTCACATAAAAACAATTCACTTAATGATCTTATTGGAAACATGGGAAAGTTTAGGAAAGATTAATATAGAAATTAAAAATAAAGTTAGGAAGCGAAAAGCTGCTTCTCCACTGAGTTTAGAATATACCAAGAAGATTAAACAAGTGACACAATATTTATTTACTGTATAGAATAACTTAGAAGTTAATTATCTACTTCTATAGTTCATGTAACAGATTTTACAGAAGCTTTTATAAATAGTTCATATCCTCATATTAGTATTTGCCTCCACCAATCGTACTAGACTCCAAGTGGCTCTATTACTGCTTTACACGTGTGTCTGAGTAAATCTGAATGTGTAGTGACAGAGAGGGATGGAGTGGATCACGGAGGCTCCATTTGGATCTGTGGTATAGAATATCGTATATAAGAACCTCACAAAGCTCCCAAAGTCATCGTTAAAACAAGTCCTACTATTTACGTGGCCTCTTGATAGCTCAGAATTTTCCTAAAAGTTATGGTTATTGGTATTATTTTTAGTGCTAAGGATGGAACTCAGGGCCTTCGCACTGAGCCACGCATCCATGTCTGCCCCTTTGTGAATCAGGTCTTGTTAAGACATTAAGTTGCTCAGACTCTACTTGAACTGTGTTCAGCCTGCTTCAGCCTCCCAGAGTCCTGGGATCCCAGGCATATAACACTGCACTTGCCTGAAAGCTGTTATTTCCATCAATGTCATTCCACAATCATATCATCAGTAAGAGATGTTTTCACTTTGCCTCAAGAGAAGTCATGAGTTAGGGGTTGACTGATGACGGGGCATGTACATGGATTTAGAGAGCATGAAGATGGTCTGGGAGATCTTATACTGAAGGAGATAAACCACTGTGTATTTACCCCAACTTATGCAACTTACATCAAGAGTGAGCCCTAAAATAGTCTGTGGATTTTGAGTGATGGTGATGTGTCACTGTAGCTGCAATTGTGGCAAATGTACCGCTCTGGGGGGAAATGTTGGTAGGAAAGGCTGTGTATTATTTTAGCTGTGGGTTTATGAAAACCCTTATCTGCCTGTTCTTGTGGTGAACTCATCATCATCCCACACAAAATAAATGAAAAATCCTAAATAAACTTCTTATTCCCTTACGGTTAAGGATTATCTTTTTGAATCATGAAATGTTTAACATTTGGACTCTATTTTCTCTCATGATCAGCCTCTCAGCATATGCTGCAGTTCTTTTAGAAACTGGTTGATAAAATACACATAACATAAAACGCCTCATGTTACTGGAAGCACACACTTGGCTACAGGTACATCTGCTTCATAGTGCAACCATTATTAATGTCCAGATCTGGAGCCTGACCTGAGCCCTGATGCCCTCTGAATAATGGCTCCATGTCACCCTCCTGGCAGTGGCTGGCAGCCACTGCTCTACCTTCCATCTCCAGGAAGCTGACCACTTTGATTACCCACACATGGAATCATGCTGTTTTCACTGTTCTCCCATGTCACAAGAAGTGTCTGAATTTTCTTTTTTGAAATGATGAATAATGCCCATTTTCCATGTATGACACATTTTGCATTCCCATTCATTCTTGGATGGATACTTGGATTATTTTCCACTTTGAGGCTGTTGTCCTCATGCTGCTATGAAAATGTGCATGTGAATATCTGAAGCCTTTTATTTTCTGTTATATACCTAGGAATGGAATTGCTGGAGGCACGACAGCTTCATTTTTAATTGCTTAAGTGTCTGTATTGTTTTCTGTAATGGTTGGACTGTTGCACATGACCACCACCGGGATGCTAGAGTTCTAGTTTCTCCACTCTCTCATCCACACTCGTTAATTTCCAATTTTGAGTATTTGTTTTGTCTTTGTGAAGTTATCGTCCCAATGGGTGTGAGTTGGTAAAGGCTTATGTTTTTAGTCAGAGCTCCCTAATATTTTTTGAGCTCAATTTGGTGCATTCTGAGACATACATAATGATTTTTGAACCACATACTGTTGGAAAGAACAGGAGTGATGAGTAACCATGTGAAATTGCAAAATCTTGAGACATGACAGACACAACATTGTGCTAAAGGAAATTAAACCCTGTGTAGTTTTATCCAGGTTGCTGAAATATATGATCAGTGAAAATTGCATGGAACATTAACAATAATCAGGTAGTGAATGAGTTATTTTATTATCTGCATAAATCATGGTTTTTATATACATAGACTAAATCTATAATCTGGACTTAAATCATATCTGGACTTAAAATAGAGGAGTTTTTTGTCACTAGGGAGTTATTGAATGTACTTTTTTGAAAACCTGTCTTATCCTAGACACTGGACAAAATGTAAAAAACTTGTTATTGCAAATGGGAACATTTTTGCACCAGAGATTAAGCATCTTGCTTATTTCACAGTGGGATTGCAACAGAGACAGCGTTCAGCGTAGATTTCTCATTCAGAGCTTGACCTCCACATTGCAAATAGACATTTATGGACTTTAGTTTCCAGTGAAAGTCTTTGGGGAAAAGAGCATCAAGGTTTTATCCTGTATTAAAAAGAAATCCGTAGTTAGCATTCATTGGGATAGTCTTACCAAAGGTAACACTAAGTTAATACAAAGTATATTAAAATGTAAAATTCTCCTCTTAGGTGAAATGGGATTTATCAAAAATGATACTAACCTCTAACTTAAATATTCATAGGTACAACCTGGCATCATATGTAGAAACTTCAAATGTTTGTGTGGATTCCTGATTCCCTCAAAATGTTTTGGAGATATTGTTTTATTAAGTACTATTTATGGGTCATCTTAAGTATTTTTAAGAAATTTTTAAGACTATGTGGGTCTTTAATAAGAAAGCTTAAGGCAACTTTAATTACAATAGATTAGACACTGCAAAAAGAATTGAGAATGTCATTGATCCAATTTGATCAAAATAATTCACAGAAGTTTAAGTCCTTGTTGTTTGATACTTAGTGGGATTGATTGATTTTTTCCTAGAGAAGAACATTTAATTTCTCTTCAGTAATCACAAGGAAAATTGACCTGAATTATTACTTTTCAGCAAATCATTTAAAAGTCTTTCTTATTTAGAGATATTACATACAATTTTAGCCTCCAAATTTCTTTTAAAAAATAGAACTTGTAAAGATATAGGAAATAATATAATTTTAGACACAGTAAATAACATGACTTTTATATCATAATTAGTGTGGGAATAAAACTATGGTTGCTAAAACTGCTTCCTCAAAAATCCCTGGCTTATCATAAATTCATTTAATCTATATGGAACTTTAAGTCATACATCAAATTCAGAATATTTCTAACATGTGTGGAAAACTTTACCAAAAGAATACTTTTTACTTTAAAGAAATTAGTCCTGAGTGACTGGCTTAAACAATAATATACATTATATAGTATGCTTCTTTTGGTACCGGGGATGAGACTCATGGCCGTGCGCTTGCAAGGCAGAGGCTTATGCTGCTGAGCTAAATCCCCAGCCCCATGTAGTATGCTCCTTAAAGGTAAAAAATGTAAGAGTTCTTGACAATCCTGTTTTACATTTTTCTACCTTTTACATGGATATTGATAGCTGGCATATAGTGGGTAAAAAATAATTTGAAAAATAGACTGTGTCTTAGTCACTTTTTACTGATCGCTGAGACAAGATACCTGAAGCCCAAAGTTGGGAAAGGAAAGGTTTATTTCTTACAGATTTTGGAGGTTTCAGTCCACACTCAGTTGGCTCCAAGGCAGGCAGGCATCGCTGGACAGCAGTTCACTGCAGCAGCAAACAACAAACAGGAACCAGCAAAGAGCAAGACACACCTTCTTCCTGCCATTACATCACATCCTGGCTCCACTCCTATGTGGGTGGAGCACTGACACCATCCATCCAAGCATTAGACAATGAACAATCACAAATGCACAATGCAAACTCATGAGGCCTGGGGCCACAGACATAAACAATGACAGACTGCTTTGCTAAATGTTTCTACCTTTTAGCTTTTCTCTGTGTTGCTGATGTAATTGTCTCAATTATATTGTCTCCTTTAAAGGTGTATAAATTGTTTTATACCCCCAAAATAGCATACCCTGCTAATCGAGTCCATCATATGTGTCCACTTAATGATCTCAATATTTTATTTTCTCATGTATTTTTGCTTGTTTGTTTTATAGTGCTGGGATTGAATCCAGGACTTTATGGTTGCTAGGCAAGTACTCTAACATTAACCTATACTCTCAGCCTCACCCAAATATTTTAAACCTCCAGTAAAAAAAGGGCACAGTGTAATATTCTTCTAGTAGAAGCTTACTTTCAAATTTCCAAAAGAATCCAATTTCAGCAATAACAACAACAACAAAATAAATACACATGTGTTTTGCTGTTGGTTCTATAAGATGGAAATTCTGTTTGGGGCATGCACTTAAGTGAATAATATTCTAATGGTATCTAAGCAGCAGAGCAATAAGACTCTATTTACAGCCTTTTCAAAATTGGACAGTATTGTCCATTTTCTGAGAAAAAAAATCCTGTCTTAATTGCCTTGTTTCCCATTAAAACTTTTAATTTCCAACTTATTAGTGAGCTATACGACTACATAAATGTACTTTTTGTCTAATATCTCCTTTTTTATATCCAATTACATTTTACTATTTTCAGAATAGGTTAAGTGAATATTTTTCAATTTTATACCTGAAACTTTTGGTTATTCTTTGGTATTTTATTTTTGATTATTTGTATCATATGTATCTTCAGCTTTCTGCTTTGAAACAATCAGGTGTATTGTAGATTATTTTTCTCACGAATTTTTGAATATAAATTGTTTTTCTGTATTACAAAATATAATTAACAGTATTAATATTTCTGAATATTTCCTCCTGTTCTCACACATTACAGATGCACACGTGCACACACATAGACACACACACGCACACGCTTTGTATGTTGATATCAGAATGTAGGTAGTTTGTATCCTGTTTTGCTAACTCTCTATTTCATGACTACCTTCCGTGGTGTATCCATTCAGTCTTGTAAATTTAGCCATTTGAAGACTGAATTGCAAACATAATCTCAAAGGCCATAGTTATTTTTCCAGGCCTCCAAGGGTATAGGCTCCCTGAAATGCATGATAAAATGCCTTGAACAGCATTCAAAACTGAGCCAAACCCACCAACTTCAGTGATGTTCAGTGCCAACAGTATGAGCTTAAAAGCCAGCAATATGAGCTCTGTTACTAAGTGGTCCATTCCAATGAATAACATAAAATTTAAATATATTCTACCATTTCATTTAAAGTCTTCTTTCTTCATTTTCTGTTCATTACAATAGATTCCTTTTCCAACTTAACAGTTAATGACCTATCCCTGCAGAATTATATAAAAATATAGCTGAGATGCTATGTATCAGGTAGGAAGTAGGTGAAACTATCAATAGTGATTTAAGAATCATTATTTAATGAGGCTTACAGAAAGCCAGGTACTGTAGTGGGCCCCCACACAGGTAATGTTTAGTGAACTTCAACCCATAAAGGAAGTATATTGCTATTGCTTCTGTCCAGATGGGGGGGGGGGGAAGAAAGAGGTAAGAAAGGTTAAGAAACTTGTCCAAGTGCCCAAGGCCACTCACTGCCACAGTGCTTCTGTCTTTCAGCCAGCAGTTATGCTAGAATGTCTAATGGAAGACACAGATTTTATAATTTAAAACAGAAGTGTTGATTTCCTTCCTCAAAGTATGCAATCTTTCAGTAAAGGTCACCACTCTTACTCCAGTTGTTCAGGCACGTAAATAAAATCCTTGACTGTTATTATCCCCTGCCCCGTGCCTCTTAGTCAAGCCCGGAAAACTCTACCTACCGCACAGATATTTCTCCTCCACAGTAACTTCCCCATATTAAGCACCTTAATTGAAGTCACCTTCATTTCTCTCTCCACAACAATAGGAAGCATCTCATATCTGGTCTCTGTTTCCACATTCTATCTCCCCAATCCCCTTACCAAAGAGCAATCAAGGTAAAGATTTAAAATTCCAGAGTAGATCTCACCAGCAGGCTGCTCAAAACTCCCCAGTGGCAGGCTGATCTGTTCTACCCAAAACGCATAGCCTGATAGCCTTGGGGTGGGTATGTTTCTTCAGCATCACTGCTGACCACGCTCATTCTTGTCATTCTGGCCACAATGGCTTTCTTGGGAGGAACCAGTGTTATTTCTTCACATTTGCCATTTCTTAGGACCTTGACATGACGTTATCCCTCAAATCACCAGTGTCTCTGCTAAAATATCACCTTCTCAGAAGAGCCTTCTCTGCTCAGCATCTAAATTTGCACGTCTTAACAGTTTATTTTGTCATTGCAGTGGTGTCCTGGGAAGTGTGTAGGCACTGAATCTCTAGTAACAACCAAAAGCCCTGATTCACAGGGTTAACCAGATTCTATGAAGTAAATACACCCCCGGCAACTGATTTCAGGTTAACAACCTGATATCACTGGACAAAGAATTGCAGAGATGTAAACAGCTGGCTTATGAAAGCCAATGTTGACCCTCATATACCACTGGAATATTACTTATTATTCTAGAGGATAATTCACAAGTGAGGAAGAAAAGGATGGTTTTAACTCTATCATATTTCATGACCAAGGCTGCCACAGTAAATAATGTGTTGTTCAATATTTGTAAAATAAATGGGTGATGGAATTAATACTCTGTGATCTTTCAAGTATATGCAGAAGTAGAAAGTAGTAGAATCTGCAGTAAGAATCATAGAGAAAGGTGAGAATGTCACCTCATCCCTATTTGAATGTTCTCCTTTAATCCTTCCTAAAAAGATTACTGTGCATGTAGACAATTATATTCTGTTCATATTTAAATAATTTCATTTATGTTTAGGCTGCAGAATTTGATCAGAATTTAGTCCAATAGCTTGTATACTTTAAGCATTACATTCATTTCTAAAAAGTATGCTCATGTCAAGAATATCTACAATTCAAATCATGACCTTCTTTTGATTTGTTCTATAATTTAAATATTTCTGACCCAGACACTAAAAAGATTAACTCAAGAATTTTAATAGCCATGTTGCTCATCTTCACTTCTGTCAGAGATGATATTTGAAGGTATGAAATGCTGAACAGACAAAGGAGGAGTTCCTTCTGCACGAGATGTATGTCAGATCTGCTTTCAATAAACGACTGTATTTACTTCTTCTTGTTTATGGTCACTATTTGCAATGCCATTCAGTCACTTTCTGAATCACAAGGCCTGGGCTCAGGAAAAGTTAATTATCCAACCTTATGTGTTCTAAGGCAGTTATTTCACGACTACTCACTGTACGTTTTTGTTTATGAGAGTCTTGGCTTCATAGTTTTAAACATGTCATTATACTTCCCAGGGTGTCTCTCTGGACAGCTATATATTTGCATATGTTTATGGAACCACAGTGTGGGTGATCTACCATCATCTTTTCTCTGCTATATGGGTGGATTCAGCTTTTGGTGTTAGGTTTCTTTCCTGATGATCCTGTGGCTTTGTTCTTTGTTGTGAAGGAACTATAGTCAGACTGCTAAGCAAGCACCATGGATTATATTTTTGCATGAGTCATCATGAATGTGTTTGGTTCCAAATTGAGGAAATACTATTCCTCTTTCCAAAATATATACTTGTATAATTTCTTGATATTTTCTCCTATGCTTTGTAGCAAAATGTTTTGTTGAATAGTGATTTTAGGAACAGAATTCAATGAAAACATTTTGTCTTACTTTAGATGAAAATTAGTTTATGGTTTTTCCAAGCATGGCTTTTCCATAAATTCATCATATTCAGAGATAAATGAATGCTCATAGCAGAACACTTGGAATCAAAAGAGTCTAAACAATATTTGTCCATTTTGGGAACAACTCTAATTGTGTCTTGTGACACTCATAATCAGTTGAATTGGAAAGACTTCTATTGTAGTCAGGGGTTTGCAAAGAGAACAAGACAATACAGGACACATAATTTATAGTATCATTTATAATGCCCACCCAAGGAGTCAAATACAAGAAGTGCAGGAAACATGTCCACACACTATAGGTTTTCTGCAGAAAATCTAACTGAGGCCCTGAATACCATGGCAATAAGCTGCATGAGTTCAGCTGAAAACCTAGAGCTTATAACAATGCCTCCCAAAAGTCCAACTGGAGGCCTAGCGCCCACGACAATGACTCATGTAAGTCTGTTTCATGAATCTGTGCTGAAAGCTTTCAGCCGTGGAAGCTAGAGAGTCTATGCCAGTAGGCTGAAGAATCTGTGCCATTAGGTTAAGGGTTCTGCACTGGAGTCAAGAAGCAACATTCAGAATAAGGAAAAAGCCTCCCCAGAAAAGTACCACAGCCATCCTCAGGGACAGTAAGGTCCTGAGCTCCTCCAGCAGTGAGATCATCCAAGTTCATATCAGGAAGTCAGTGTGACAGGCTTCCTCCGGAGACTGAGCAGCACACATCTTCTCCTCTGTAGCCAGGAAGTGATGCTCAAAGTAAGGACCAGGGCTCCCCCAAAGTGAACCACAGCCACTTTTAGCATAAAGGTTCTGAGTTCCTTCCATGGTAATAGCTGATTTCATATCAGGGCAGCCAGCGTAACAAGCCCCTCCAGGAGAACCAATGCTCCAAACAATGACAACACTTAGGAGAACCCACAACGATACTCTTTCTTGCATGTCTCCTTTTTATGCTGGCAGCAGTCCTCAGGTGGGCCATCTGTGCTCCGCACCACACTGATTCAATTCAGCTGGTGTTACAAGGTGACCACCAGTTACCAATCCACAACAACTTCCATGTCAAAAAATTGTTCTTAAGTCACTTTTAAAGCTTATTT